CTGGCTGGCACACGGGTGCACTTTGGCAGTGTGGACCGGGCAGCACCCGCGAGGAGCTTCCCCGCCGCGGCGCATACATTAGGGACGCAGGAGGCGGCGCCGCACTCGCTTTCCATCGCGGCTTGACAAGCGCTAGACGTGCATGACAACCAGGTTCAAGGTCGCATGAAATTAGTTCACACAGCCGCGGAGCGCGCCTCGTCGGGCCGGGAGTGGCCTAGTTCTGTGGTGATGGTTGATTTGGAAGGCGACGGCAGCTGTTGGGGCGTTTAGGCCGCGCGCCGGGCCCCGGGCCGGGCGGCCATCGAAAGACAGGACCGCTCGTGTTGTCTGGTGGGGAGAGGAGGGGGGGCCTCGATAAGGCAACGGATCAGCTGATGGCGGCCCAGCGCCATGGAGACCAGCCGCGCCCTCAGATTATAAGCCCTTTATTTGCGGAGCGTTTCCGGGTAGAGTCCCCCGACCCTCACCCGTCATCCGGCCGCTTCGAAACCACACACAGCGAGCGGGCCCACGGGCCCCGGAGGAGCACGAGTCAGTTACACTGCACCGCATGCAGGCGTGAAGAAGCGTTGCCCACTCTCGGGATCGATTGGGATAGAACGCCTGTCATTTTCCATCACGAAACGACCCACTTCAGCCTTATGCAAGCTCTCATAGCGCCTGCCACGTAGGCAACATGTCGCCTGCAATGCATGCGAGTACTGCGGGGTGGCCTACCCCGAGTCTCGCAGGCGCCGAGCTCCCATAATTTTGCCGAATGAATCTGAGAAAGACGGGGCGCCGCCGTGGTGGTAGGCCAGCCCGCCCGCACGGCTGCATGCGTTACAGCATACCCGATAGGTCTGTCTGGGCCAACGTATACAGCAATGTATGACCGGCCAGATACACCGCACATGTGAAATACAAAATCCCCCTCGCACTCGGCGCCGCTGCCGTGTCAGGGGGAAGGGGGAAGCCGGCCGAAGCCGGAGTGCGTGCATCGTGCATGTGCAGCGGCGCGCTGCAGTGCGTTGCAGCCGCCCCTCCACTCCACTTTCACTGGTCGATAGCGCAACCTGTTTGTGTGCGTCGCCTGGCGCTGGCGCGCGTCGTTACGTAACACCGTCCAGAAAGATGCCCGGCCATGGGCGCGCGGGGGGGCGCCGCGCCGCTGCGCTGCTGGACAGGCGCGCGGGAGGGCCGTTCGTTACCGGCCGCGCTCCGGACGGGACGGACCAAAACAACGTCAAGGTTGATGGGCGTCATGCCCGCGCCCGCCGCCGCGGCTCCACGCATTCGCCGGTCGTTCTCACGGCGCGTCGGGCGGGCGGGCTTGTTTTGCTGCCCGCGTTGCGGTTTCCCTAAGTTCAGCGGACTTTTGGCGTCTGAGACCCACGAATTTTGCAAGTCGTGCAGGGGGGCTTGCTGCTCGCGCGCACGTCTCGCGGCGTGGGGAAGTCCGCGCGGTTTGTCGCCCTTAACAGGCTTCCCGATCGGTCTTCCCTTTTCCAGACGGCTATTGTTTGCTATCTCCCGCAGACGGCTGCGACTTCCGGTCGCACTGAAGCCCTTCTGCCCGGTCGCGGTGAGGCGCAGCGGGCGGGGGCCCCCCCGATGCCCGCCCGGTGCAAAGTTCGTAGACGGGGAGGCGCTGTTGCCCTCATGGTTAACACCGTTAACACCACGGCCGCACGCCGTTGCGGCTGGGCTCGGCGCGGCGCGGCTCTGGGCGTGAAGTCACCTTGCGGCTAGGAGGAGCTCAGGCCGAGGCTCAGGCCCTACAACACGATCATGCATGGCGATATGGGGCAGTGGAGGGGAGGAGCAGTGGCCCACTGCTACCGCAGCTACCCTATAGTCCTCAAGGTCACCGGGAACAGACCAGCCACGCGGAGCAGGGAATTGACGCTCTGAGAGCGCAAAAGTCTTTATTGCCTTAAGGCAACGCAGCAGCAAGGTTGTCCAAGGACGCCGTGGTAGAGACGGTCCCGGACGCTGTGTGGAGAGAACAGTCAATGGCAAAAACACGGCTCGGTAGACCCACCTGCGATCACTCCTTTGAGCCCCTTGTTGGAGCTCGGGGCCGCCAAGGGAGCCCCAGTGCGGGCGACCCATGGCCTCTCAGGGAAAGGGTTCCTGAATCGGGGTATCGCTCCGGCGTCCATGCTGGCGTCCTACTGCGAGTCGGCGCACACCGGCGGCTGCGGGAGCAGTGCGAAGTCGAGGATGTCAGGGCCCCGATGACTTGCCAATCCACCTATGTCCGCGGCGGGCTGTCCCCTCACGAGCCAGCAGACGACAATGGCAAAGCGCCGCTCCACTCCGTCCACTCCACGCACTGACGGGACCGGACCTCTGCCGCTCGCACGGCCCTGGCGCCAACAAGAAGAGGGTAAAGACTGAATGGGAGTGGAGGCGGGACGGGACAGGACGGGTAACCGCCGCTGCCACAAGCTGCCAGCGCACGCCCAGGCCAGGCGGGCGGGCCGGCCCGGCGGCGGGGGAAGGGCGTAACCACTTGTGGCCATTCCCTTGGGCGCTGCGAATAGCGCCGCGCGACTGCGAATACTACGAATTTCTGAAGAGGGAACGCACGCGTGTGGACGCAAAAGGGGGCATTGACGGCGCATTTTAAGGTACTTGCAGCGCTTCAGAATCATTTTAAAGCAGATAAAATACTCAGTAAGTTGCAAAGGTTTGTGATGTCTGTCATCACTTTAGCATGGCATGTTGGTAAGCCCGTGAATGGTAATGGCGGCGCTGTTTCGTTTGAAATTCT